TATTATTATTTTTAAGTGTGTACTTTGCCCTATAAGTAACTTATCTTCGCTAATCCAAATTCCTGTTTGTTAAATTTATTACTATTGCTTAATATACGTTGAAGACAACCATAATTTTGTTGCATAAAAGATTTATGTTTTCGTACATAAACAATATTTTTATTTGGTATACACTGGGTGCATTTCAAGTAAGAATTTTGTTTTAATCATTCCTATTATGAACCTCGAACAAAATCGTGAACCACACGTATTGCTCTTTTTTGCTGAATAAAAATAGCCTGCACATCAGCTACATGTTTACATGATAAAATAACTTTGGAAATTACGCTGTGAATAGTTTTCGGAGTCAGTCTTTGAATGTTTTGTTGGTCTAGTGATGGTAAGCGCGCCAGCTAATCCTTTTATTTAAATCCCTAAATTAGTAATTTATATAAAAAATCTGTAGCGTTGACTCGAGTCTGTTACCAATGTTAAATATAATATAGTAGAATATACTCAACGTCTCTCCTTTGAATGTGCAAATCATTTGACAAGCTATGGAATGGCACATATATTTTCATACTAGCTGTGCCCGCGACTTCGTTCGCATGTAATCTTTTTCTCCAATTCTTTTATATTTTCAAACAGAGTATATATAATTATATGTTTATTATAATCAAGCAGATTATTTTATACCTACCTGAACGTTAGCTTCGTGAAAAAGGCTAAAATAGATCAAATTTTTTACTTTTAATTTTGGATGACTTGATGGCAAGGATTAGCCATTTTATGATAATATCCACATTTTAAGAAAACCTAATGCCAGCTATCTACCACCTAATCCATTTCTGGTTTTCGAATAATAAAATCTTAATAAATACAAAACAAGGAGTCAAAAAGGGGATATAAATATGCAATTTAATTTAATGGTTTTATTTATTTAATCACGGTTTTGTTAGAACTTCAAAAGTAAAAGAAAATGTAAAAAAATATATTCAGTTAACAAAGGACCTCTTCATAAACAACGTTCACCGTTTTGTTTTGTGGTGCTAAAATAAACAAATTAGTGGGATCGCTGATACGCGACATTGCCACATAGAGCTGCCCATGTGAAAAGCAGCTGTTCGTAAGGTCAACGCCTACTCTGCTTAGCGTTTGACCCTGTGCCTTATTTATCGTCATTGCAAAGCAAACACTCACCGGCAGTTGGACCCGTTTATAACGAAACGGAAAGTTATTCGGAATAATCGGTATTCGTGGAATAAAAACTTTTTCACCCGCACCGCAACCGGTAAGTATCTCTGCCTCAACCACATGTCTCTGGAGAGCAACTACTTTGAGCCGAGTACCATTGCATAATTTTGGTGGACTTAAATTTCTTAAAAGAATTATGGGGATCCCTACCTTAAGTTTAATTTCATGTGCAGGGAGCCCAGACGCCGTTAATGCATTCAAAAACTCTACAGGATATGCTGTTACTTCTTCACGGTCAACTACTCTATTTATTGACGTATAGGTAACATTCTCCCCTTCAATACGTTCTAAAATGGTCATGTTGATACTTACAGCTTAATCATTACGAGGCGTAAGTATAGCGCGCTCACAAAGCCAAGAGTTTCCTTGGTTTACTATACCAGCCAGATCTTCATAAACAGATATAATAAGTTCCTCAATGTTAAGGACTGTTTTGCACAAATTATTAATTAAATCTATTCTACCATCAACCTCAGGAAACCTACCTTCACACATACTCAATAATAACTGTGAGAAATCTTGAGCATTTGTGTTCTCGCCTCTTTGCGCTCGCATGTTTGTGGTGAGATTTAACCTTGTAATATGGGGCCAAAGAATTGAATTTTTTAAACATGCGCTAATTTCATCGGCTCTTGTCCCGCGTGTAACTATTGGCAATGTCTGCCGAAAATCTCCACAGAAGAGCATAGTGACTCCGCCCATAAGTTCATTGTTGTGTCGTATATCTTGCAGCGTTCTATTGACGGCTTCTACTGCTTTGCGATGCGCCATTGTACATTCATCCCATACAATTAAGGTGCACTCACGAAGTACTCGAGCTATGTCACTATTACGTGAAATGTCGCAAACGGGGGTTTCAGTGACGTCTAATTGTGTGGGTATTTTGAACATGGAATGTGCAGTTTTGCCTCCTGGAAGTAAGGTAGCTGCAATTCCGGACGATGCCACGGCCAATGCAATTTTTCCCTGGCTACGTATTTGCGCAAGGATAAGTTTCGTAAGAAATGTTTTACCAGTACCGCCAGGGGCATCCAAAAAAAACATTTCACCAGAGGTGTTCAAAGCGCTGTTACATATACGATCAAAAAAAATTCTTTGTTGGGGGGTCATGATAGGTACACCTACTTGAAGAATTTGGGCCAGTTCCTCTGAGTCGTAATTGGATTCCGTTGCATACTCTCGATTAGTTTGTTCGACATTTAAGATTGGTTCAGGTAATCCATAGCGTATTAAGGGATTACCACCAATTGAAAAAACTGTGTTTTGTATATCACACAAACAACGATTCAATACATCATTGAGCATCTCTTGATTTAGTTCACCATGTTCAAAATTAATGTAATCTTCAGCTTAACTTTTCTGGTGTTTAACCCAAAGTTGATTAGCATCTGAAAGGCCACAAAATACTAACAACACCGCAAATAAATTCCGTAAACGACGCGGGCTATCACTAACAGATGCTTCAGCGAGGGTGTTGTCCCAGTGCTGGTCGTCGTCCAATAACCCTCGAGCCCGGCAAGCAGCTTGAAAAGAAGGATATTGAGTGTTGTTGAACATTTTCAAAGCCAAAAATGATGTGGGTCCTCGTACTGTATGCAAAAGTAAACGTACGTAAAAACATTCGGAGTTATTGGGATGTACAGTGTACACTCTGCCGAGCACATGTTCTTTAAAAAGGTTGGGAAAACCTTCAACAGGAATACCACGTCGGCGACGATTAAAAATCCTGTGTTGCTTATCGTATGTATAATACGCTGGAACTTCGTCATAAAGCAAAGTTCTTGCGAAATCGTCAGATTCGCATAATCGAAAGAACGCCAGTAAAGTTGTTTGTCTAGGATTTTCTAGTTGCTCCACAATATTGTCTGGGTGAAAATATACGCGTTGTCCGCCTTCCACGTGAACGTCTAAATGCATTACCGGGGGGATTACGCTCGCTTATTGGGAAACTGAATATTCGCCATGCTGCCTCCGAAGAACTTATGTATCGCCCTGATTGAAATCTTGTAATTTCGTCAAATCTGTCGTTGCTCATTGCAAGTGTTGCTTGATCCGTCCCTTTATTTACATACTTAAAAATGTATTTAATTGATTCAACACTGTTACACATTTCTACGTTTATATGGGTTTGGAAAGTTCTCGATAGCACAGGTGAGTACGGCACTACCCACCTGTTATCTACTTCTACATCTTGTCCAAACATTCTCAATTTTGTGGTGAATCCTCCATACTGTGGAGCACGCCGCCGATATTTGGGATAACCATCTTCACCAGTGATTGTTTCTCTTAAAAGGGGTCTTGGATATTTTTTCGTACATTGTCCATCCTTCATGCACGGAGAATTATTATTTAATGCACCGCAAGGCCCGTGTATCATCTGTGTTTTAACAATTTGGTGTAAAATAGGATCATTTGTGGGATTTGGTAATTCTGCACTTATTATATTATCAACGTCATTAGGACGAATTTTTTGTAATAACCATAGAAGAATGTGAGCGTGGGGCAGCCCTCTTTTTTTGCCATTCCACGTTGTATGTATAGCATGACGTAGCGCCAAAAACGTTTTGCTTGGTTAATAAGTTGATTAACAACTTTAACTTTAAATAAAAAACTCGACTAATTAAATCGTGTCGATCGTACGATGCTTGACCTTCTAGCAGCTCTTGAGAAATCTCGATCCATTTAGGGTTAGTAGTTATTGTTATGAAAAGATCTGGCCTACCATACTTGCGAACATAACAGAATGAGTCTTGAACGCGTTCATTCATATTTCGGGGACTCCCGATAAAGCTGGAAGGCAATATAACTAAACGTCCTAAATTTTCTATGTGTGTATCTCCCTGTACTGCATCATGAAGATCCACATAATTTTCGGCACGCAACTGTCTCTGATGTGTACGAATGAATACTAAACGCTCTGTTTCAACTTTTGCGTACATATCAACAATAAACTGGTTAAATAAGCCACGAAATCGTTGTAAATACACAAAACGACGTTGTCTTATTTGCATGAGATAACAATAAAATTGCAGAGCCGAAACTTTTCTGTCTAACCGAGGTGCTCCTGTAGCGGGGTCAACTTGATAAACCGTAAAGTTGTAACCATCTTCACCGCGACAGTACATAAGTGGGTATTGTAAGGAGTCGTAAGAACGATGAGTCTCACTAATTCGTTGCAGGCGGTCATCACGCGTGCGTACTATAATGTCGCGCTTGTCGCATTGCTGATCCACCAGGACAACTGCCACTTCATTGGTGGATGGAGAATTATAACGGCCGGAATGTAGCACTAAAGGTCGCTTATCCGCGCTAATAACAAACTTATAATTATTGTATTCATCTTGAGGGATCGACTCTAGTACAGCTTTGAAATTGGATACATAAGGGTTGACCTGATGAAGCATGCCCTGAAGCTCTGAGATAACATTAGCGTTTAAATTTGGGAAATTCTGCCTCCTTATATTGGCTTGTTCATGGTAATCAGAAATGAAATATATTTGTAAAAACTTTGGTTCTGTCTCAGGCAAAAGCGAACCAATTAAGTGGTAGACTTGCCCCTGCACTTTAAAAGTAGGCATAAATGTTCCATGTACCACTTGCTTGGCCCCGAAAGAAGTCATCTGGAATGCCCCATTGTATGAACGGATATTGTCTAAAAACTGCTTGGAATGTGGATGGTCCCCATTAAGTAGCGATTTAAGAGGTTCTGGGGGCTCTTGAAATATTTCCAATTGTACCTTGCCAGCTGAACAGCAAAACCCGTTTGATTATTTAGACCACTTAAGTGATTGACAATGACTACAAGTGCGAATCATTCTTCCGATCTCGACAAATTCACTATAGTCAATATTAAAAGTGTAGGTAAAACCACTATTTTCTTTATCAACCCAAGGGAGATCAGTGTAGTTCTCTCTGTCCATAGATGGCGGAGTAAAGGTGGGTGAACGATTTATAAAAGTACGAATACGATCAGCTTGTAACCGAATTGCACGTTCACTCTCTGTCTCGTTACTCCTAATTGCTTGCACTCTTTCCCTTTGTAAAGACAAAAGTTCGTTACGGTGTTGAAGCGAATTTTCATAATATCCCCTTGCCAATTCTAAGCGTAAGTCATGCTCCTGCTGGGTTTCATGTGTCCTACTTACCGAACGGCTCTCCCTATCTGCTGCTAACCTCGCTTCATATTGAGTAAATGATTCCGAAGCACGTGATCTTGCATGACGTTCCCGGTCTGCAGTCAAGCGTTCCGAATATTGAGTTAGCGTTTCTGAAGCGCGAGACTCAGCATGACTTTCACGGTCTGCAGTCAACCGTTCTGAACACTCCGTAAATGTTTCCGAAGCGCGAGACTCGACATGACGCTCACGATCTGCAGTCAAGCGTTCCGAATATTGAGTAAACGTTTCTGAAGCGAAGGACTCAGCATGACGCTCACGGTCTGCAGTCAAGCGTTCCGAATATTGAGTAAACGTTTCTGAAGCGCGAGACTCAGCATGACGTTCACGGTCTGCAGTCAACCGTTCTGAACACTCCGTAAATGTTTCCGAAGCGCGAAACTCAGCATGACGCTCACGGTCTGCTGTCAAGCGGTCTGAATATTGCGTAAACGTTTCTGAAGCGCGACTTTCAGCATGACGTTCACGGTCTGCAGTCAACCTTTCTGAATGCTCCGTAAACGTCTCTAAAGCTCGAGACTCGATATGACGTTCACGGTCTACTTTTAAACGCTGAGAGTAATTTGTTAATGTTTCCGAAGCGCGAGACAACGCGTGACGTTCGCGATCTGTAGCTAAGCGCGTTTCATTATTAAAACTGGACTCTGATGCCCGAGATTCCGCAGTTTGTTCTCTATTGTAAGCTAAACGGTGCTCACGGTCCTCATTTGTCTCTTGCGATCGAACTTGTCTCATCCTTTTAGCCCTTCTATTGTATTTAGAAAGACTACTTTTCTTTTTTTGCGGCATTATTTAAAATTTATTCAACAACCAAAACACAAAATAAAATCCTTATCCGAAAATGTAATCACGTATGTAACAATTTAGTGATCACTTAACCTTAGACTACAATAATAATATTATTTAATTCAATTTAATTTAATTTAAATTTAATATATTATTACAGTCTAAAAAATCCAAACAACTAATTCCGTATCGTAAGACAAAATATCAGAAATCCGTAAATCCGTAATATGATGTCATGAAAGGTAAAAGAATAGAAAACTTAGCACACAGTATTATAGTATTTTCACACATATAACAACTTTTACAAATTATCATATTGAGTAGATATAAAATAATGTGTCATTAAGAAAACTCACGAAAAATCTTACCTACGCGAGGTAGATGTTCAGCAATGACATCTAACGGTACGTAACGGAAAATAGAGAAATAAAACAATTATCATTGTACCAATATATATTTCATAAAAAAAAATAGTTATATTCCTATTATAGGATAGAAAAGGACCTAACTAAAAATTATAATTGTTTATTATGTATTTATACAAATAATATATACAATTTAAATAATATATACAATTTAAATAGTCGCCGTGAAGTGACGTAGTTAGAGAACCATACTGTTTAATGAGGGCTAATAATTTTCTGCTCACCAGATGTCGCTAGTTGACACTGAGATAAAGTTTTTTGTTACACAATGTCATTTAATGGAGAAGTAAGTTTTTAATAAAAGTTTATCAGTTTCTAGAGTATTATACTAATACACAAAACAATGAGTCAGTGGTTTGCTGTTTAATTTTTTGCACATTTTTAACTTTTTAAAATTTTTCTACTTTCATGAATATTATGTATTTTTAATTTTAAAAATATAAAATATAGCAACAGTACAGAAAGAAACATTAACCTTAACATTTTTCGAACAAATTAACTTCCCCGCCCTGATATCTGTCAAATATTATACCTCACTTCACCTTCACAAGTGGCGCCACACTGGTGGCAGAAAAAGGTGTGGATGCCGTCATTGTAACTTACTTTTTCTTAAATGGCGCTATTATGTATTTAAATTAAACTTGATTTTCATAACGATAGACAAAATTTAAAAGCAATACATACATATAAAAAGCTTCTATAAATGTTTATATTTTTTAATAAAACTTTAATATGTATAATAAATAATTTATTAGTGCCTGAAGGGAAAACGTAACACTTTTTGCATTTTAATAATAGATGGCACTGTCTTATAAACATACAACGTAGTCGGTGAAGTTTTAAACTAAGTTTCAACGGTTAACATAGTATATTAAGCTTCAGTTATAAATATACATTACAAATTAAGAACTTTATGTAATCTACCTTAAGACTAATGACATTTTATGCACTTATTATAAAATTATAAAATTAACTCCAAAGAAAGGTAAAAAAACATAACCTTCTTTTTTTGATACTCCGTAATCGGATAAAAAGTAGCCTATAAGTTGCCCCGGGTTCTTAACTACCCACTTACAAAATTTCATGTAAATCCGTCTTGTAGTTTATGAGTGAATCCGTAATACACAGACAGACAGACAGACAGACAGACAGACAGACAGACAAAAATTCTAAAAACTACTAATTTGGTTTCAGTACCGCTTGTTTAGTCCCCTGGACTTGTTTTTTTCAAAAAATAATAGAATTACAGACACGACTTTTCTACAGATTTATTATTTGTATAGATTTTTTGACAAGCTTAACGTAGCGATAGTTTAAATATTCAAGTGTAACTCACAACTTTGCTTGAACAATTCTGGCATTCCGTGCACGTGTATTTACAAATATGTCTTATCTTCAATTCATCACTTACACATTTACAAAAATATAATATAAAGGTTTGACATGAGAAAAATATACTCGTATATGGATTTATTTTCATCAATCATTTATTTTTAGGCTAGGGTATTCGTTTGCGTGCCATTTTTCTAACATGCCATTTTAGTAACAACCAATTGAATATCTCATATACATATCGGTGCGGCTCGTGGGATGTTTAAAACATAACTGAGTGGTTTGTCTCCGGAACCGTCCGATTAAGTTAAAAAAAGAACTAGCAATGCTATTAACATTAGGTAAAATTGTTAATACCACTCGCGGTCCGCACACTACCAATAGACTACTGTCGCTCACTTACCATTCTCTTACTATTACTATTACTGCCGCCAAATAGTAGTGCTTCCACTGCTGTGTTCCGGTTCAAAGGGAAGAGAGAGTCAGTTTAATTGCAGGCTGTGAGGCATTCTTTCTTTGTCGTCAGAGATGATAACGAATCAGTGTCCTTTAGACTGCAGAAGTCATTTACGATCAGATAGACGTTAAGTTCCTATGTCATTTTAGTTATATAGCAAAGGCGTAAACCAATGAACCTTGCGAGTGAAGTGGAGCCCATTCTGGTGCTAAGCATCCGTAGGACTCCATTGTGAGCGTGCACTCGCGTTACCAAAGACTGCAATTTTTGCGCATCTCTTTTATCGTTATTTAGAGGAAATAGGGATTTGCAACCTTAAGAATTCCACATACTAACGTCGATATTTATGAGTAAGTCTCATAATTGTTAGAAAACTTACACAACATAGTAATATCTGGGTAGCGGCGACCTCACTTTCAGAGATTATTGAGTTTATTAAGTCAAAAATAAGTCGAACATCTTGAAAAAGTGCTAGCTAACTCTGCAGCCCTAAGGAAAATTTATAGATTTATTCAAGAAATTCATCTTACTGTTGAAGATCTTTAAATTTCAAGTATAATTAGGCAGACAAATAATCTCTCAACGCTCTACCTCCTGTAGTGGCTTGACATTGACGAATTATATAAATCTTTGTACTTTTTATTAAAAAAAATGAGCCTCATGTTAAATGGATGTTACGCACAAGCCCTCTCTCTTTCTGAAATGGTTACGGAGCAATTAGTCCGTTAGCAAACGGTAATAATAATTCCACGTAATAGTTGAATAGTGAAAAAAACTGCGGATGCCATCCCGCTTTACAAGCGTGCCAACCATTGAAAATATCTCCCCTATGAGACAATCTATGGGGGAGGCCTGGGTTCATCAGTGGACACTAATGTGCTGTAACAGTAACGTTGTAAATCAGCACTTGAATTTATAATTAACTATCTCATCCTTGCCAGTGAGGATCTAATCTGGGTTTTATCATTGAATAAGGATGTCAAAAGAGTAACCAGTCCACCGAATTGTAAGTGCATGCTGTGACCCATTGACTCCACACTTTTCCGCAATTAAGAAACAAAATGCTGTTGCGTTGTCACCCTTGATGACTAACATAGAATGCCTCATTTCCAGCAAAAATCGCCTCTAGTTCTCTACACTGACCATGTGAAATAAAGCAGCCTCACCTGCTATGTTATGAGAGGCGTTCAATGTATTCTCGTTATGAGAGTGATTTGCTAATAATTTGTGTTTCAAAACAATTCATTAGCTAACGACAATAGTTCAGCGTGTAAATATGAAATTTCGTTTTGATAACTTCATTACTTCTTACTTGTAACCTTCAGTCATAGACGGCGGGAATGACTGACTCGTCAATGTTGGAAAATCTCGAAAAAAAAATTCACGAAGGAATGTTGGCCCTTCAACAAGACTCTGTTCCTTCAGTGTCAACTCAACCGTACGAAAGTGGACAAGTTCAAAAGAGGCAGGGAAAGTGTCGAAGATAACCCGCTCACGGGTGGATCCACCACAGCGGCTACAGAAGAAAATGTGAAGATGATTTAAAAAACAATAAGAAGGTGCATGAGTAAGTTGTCACAGCTTATCACACAGTAAACTGATCGAACCCGGGTCTGACAGTTCTTATTTTTCTTCATAATATCAATACAAAATATATTTGAAAAAAAAAATTGTTCTGTGACAAGTGCGAACTTTAATGAATCTGTTGGGACACGGGAGAGTCCTGATTCTAACAGAATGATTTTCCTAAAGAAAAACTAAAAGAAAATATACGTCATACCGATTGTGTAGGATTTGTTAATGTGGCGATATTTAAATTTAAGATAATTAAGACCAAAAGATAATTAATAAGTGAGGGAAAGGGTAATAATTCGTATTAAGAAGACCTTATTTTTTTACACTTTTCATTTTTCTTTTAATCTGTTCAAGATTTTGGGATAAAATATAATCTAGAATTATCCTATAGTTTCTTTTATTTGTTGTAGGTTTAGTTGTTGTAGTGCCATTCCAGAAAATAGCCCGGAGAGACAGACAGACAAACAAAATTTTTATTAATGGTTGATTATACCTCAACAGCATGCAAATAACACTGTGAGCTTAATCGAAGTTCGTTGTTACAATGTTACAGACAGACACTGTAATGGGCTTGTAATCGGAGCATTCGGAGCGTCTACTACGACCTTGATGCTCCGATTAGCAAGAAAACTGGTGATCCAATTGCACAATTTCTCGGAAAGCTCATAGGAAAGAAGCTTTGTAAGAAGCGCTTTATGCCAAACCCAATGGAAGGCCTTCGCTATGTCCAAACTAATGGCCAACGCCTCCCCTTGGACTCTATTGCCTTCGCCCATTTATGAGTTAGTTAACCTAGAAAATCACTAGCCGAGTGACCGCGACGGAATTCGTACTGGAAGTCACTAATCAGCAGTGATCCTCAAGGTACCGCATGAGCTGGCTTTTAATAATATACAGATAAAGATATTTCTACAGACAATAGTTGTAGGACATGGGAGGTTCAACTTGCGTGCGGCACGCAAGATTCTATTGATTCATTTCTTCTTACTAATAAATACGTAACAATATATTATACGTAATAAGAATCTACAGGCACTAATTCTTTTGTGCAGCAAATTACTTTAACTTTACAACTCCTGAAAATATAGAATGACTGCTTATTCACAATGCTTTTGTTTTTTATTCAACAAAGCCAATTTGAAATGGGTTATTATAAAATTAAATATCGGTAATAAGTTATGGATAACCGCTCCTCTGAATGAGGTGATCACTAC